TTAGCGGAGGTGCAATATTGACTAAGTATGAAAAATGATTTTTCAGAATAATCATTTTCTCAAGATAATTTTTGGCGGCTTTTGTTCCTTACACATTAAATAAGAAAACTTGATTTTATGGGATTTTAGTATGAAGTATATATTAACTTAATGAGCCATCATTTTTAGCATAAATTGTATTTTGCACTAAAATCGAATTTTCATATTTTGATTTGGTGGGAATTTGATTTTCTAGTATTTTTATTTGAATCAATAATAATATATGTTATTAATTTTACAATATAATATATGCATTTTATACATTGGTGAGCATTGGAACTAGCTAATCCTCCCCTTCCACATGGGATTACTAGTCCCCTCCTAAGGAGGTGTTTTTGGTGGGCCCGGTATTAGCAATCCCATCTAAGACTAGGATTAGATAAAACAAACATGGTACTAAATTTAGTCCAAGCCAGTCCAAACAAATCCCGTGTACCAAACAAGCCCTAGGAGTACAATTCCAAGAGTACAATCATATACATGGAATCCTAGTAAGAGGCATTTAGTGGAGAAATATCGACTTTTATCAAAGCTTTTCAATGATTGAAGAAAGAATTCAACTTCTACCATCCAAAGAGGATCTGCTTGATTTGAAAGCACTTCTACGATAAGCACGCTCATGCCTGTTTTATTCCCTCTCTTTCCCTTTGAGGAGATAAAGTTAGGGTCTTGGAGCCAAGTTGAAATTAAAGCAACCACTGAATATATTTATAAAGTCATTTTATAGTGAGGACTTTATCTAAGACCCTTAGATGAGACCCTATCTCTTACCGTTGAATCAAATTAACGGCGAACAAATTTAATCCTACGATCAAGGGATAAGGTCTCATCTAAGAGCTTTAGATTAGGCCCTCACTATAGAATTCTACGTATTTTATATACAGGCAAGTCATAAGACTATCATTTTAACAAGGCTCTCGTTCGCTTCAAGGCTTGAACTGTGAAGATCCACTCACTTGCAGGTTCTTTTTCGAATTTTAAGTTTTGAAGAAATTAAAATAATGAGATGGGAAAGCTTTGGGATGCACTTATACCTACTGTCTTTCAGATTAGTTAGAAAATATTTTTCCAAATGTATGCAATAAAATTACATCGCAGTTTTCTTTTTGGTCTTTGATATAAGGACATGAAGAAATTCAAACTTATAGATCTTTGTATTCTGAACTCTCTCTTTACTCTCACAATCACCTTTTATGGTACATTGAAATAATTATAATCAACAAATTATTGCTCAGTACAAAGGATACGCTAAAACGCTACAAAGCAACCTATTAACATATGTAACAGAAAAATGGATGAACCATTTTTAGCTCCACAACTGGTGTCACCTTTGCATTATTTCACTTGGGTGAACTATATGCAGCTCTTTAAGCTACTGAATGAGAAAAATTATGGAAATCTATCACTGAACCTGTACAAAACCATCTCTGAGTATCTGATATCTTATATTCACTTCCGTGCTGCGTGATAAAGCTCCATGTAGTCGAGAGCTGGCTTGTTCCAAGACCAATCTTGCTCCATCACTGTCTTGCACAACGAGTTGAACCAATCCCGCCCATCATACCAAGCAGAGATAGCCCTGAAAACATCGTTTATGAGTACTCCACAAAGAAACAAACTGAACAAATTTATTGTCCATAAAGGAACATGGACATTCTTCAAACTTTTGTTTAAAGAAAACACCATGTTTACCCAGTCATCAGCTAAATATAAACCTACACACCTATTCAGAGCATAATCGACACCAGCAGTGTCAGCTCCATCAAAGCTGAATCCATTTGGTTCAACACCCTGGGCATCTGCTCTCTCTTTGTCATGGTCAACATCAAATACAGTATCGTAAAGTCCTACCAAGAAATAACATTAAAATGGAAAGTTAAACTTAATATCGAAGTATGTTTAGATATTTTTTATATCACCATGGTGTCTAGTGGCGAGCTAGAAGCTTTCCTTTGGGGAGCCAATAACGTAGTGACAAGGTTACTTAGGAGCATATATCAATTGCGAAAAACAATATATACACTATTAAAGCACACTGGTAAGGTATGTACACACCTCCAGTTTTACGAACAACAGGTATAGAACCATATCTCATTGCTATGAGTTGTGTCAGTCCGCATGGCTCAAAAATTGAAGGAACTAAGATGAAATCAGCACCAGCGTATATCTATAACAAAATCCAATTAGTCTGTTATTATGGCAGTGAAGAAGTAAGAGGTCAATGACTCAGTATAAATAGAAAAATAAGTAAAACAGAATATAACTTTCACAAGAACAAACCAAATGTGAGAGTGGCTCATCATAAGTCAAACAAAGGCGCGCACGGTCACCATAAGAAGAGCGTAATTGATTTGCCAAATTTACAAAATCATTTTGGATCCGAGGATCTGGAGCTGAACCAAGCAATACAACCTGCAAATCAGTAAGTTCCGTTTTAATTTAGAATTTGCTTTCCTACACTAGGAAATGAGAAGGGAGGATTGTCTTACTAGGAGAACATCCAGTGGAATTAAATAACAGTGTTTGTGCAATATGAGGATTCAAAGTATAATAATTCACTCACAAAAAGAGAGGACATCCATGAAGAACAGTGCTTGTGTTAATATTCACTCACAAAAAGTGGGAGAGAGATGAAAGTAACCTGTCCATTGCGTTCCAAGGTACGCCAAATGGCATGCTTGATGAGATGGATTCCTTTCTGGTGAGTTAAGCGAGTAATAATACCTACTACAGGGAGATCGGCTGTTTTCAGACCAAGCCTTTGTTGCAAGGCTTCCTTGGCAGCTTGTTTGCCTTCAACAACATTTTCAGAAGTATATGATATCTGGAATGATATGCATTCTACATGTTAGACACAATTGTATTCAGAGTAGTAGGGATCAAAAGTTATGAATGTAGTTGTGGCTAACTTAAAATCAAGCACAGAGATTAGCATATGTTCCATCTTGAGCATCCTAATATGACCCTGGTATAACCAGCATCCTAATATATAGCCCAAGTACCAAACACAGAGAATTCGGCAAACAGCTTAATACTTATTCCAAGAAATATATATAAAAAATCCTTAATAAAAGTTTACAATGGTTAAATGCGAATAGAACAAAGAAAGTATTATTTACTTACAGGAATGAATTTATCATTGTATGGATCCCAGATATCTTGATCAATTCCATTTATTATACCATGGAACTTGTAGAGATGTGGAGCAATTGCAGGATTTCCAGCAACCTCCTTAGCATAAGTGTCGGATACCTGTCGATTAGAGATGAAGGACTCAATTGATATTACAGTAATTTTCAGGAAAAGAAACAGCAACCATCACGTGTAAAGGATTGGATTGTTGATATCACAATTCAATCAATTTAACAATTGACAGAACAGAAGAGCATAGAAAGGTGATTCCAGGGCCTACTAAAAGGGAAAATGTTCGAATTCCAATAATTAACATTGATAGGTCTGCTCCTATTATTCACAAAGGCAAAGTATCCTAAAATAAAATAACAAAGGATAAAATGAGAGAGTTTTAGGAAATTTTTAAGTACTTACAGTTGTGGTCTTGTCTGAGTATCCCACAGCTTTTCCAATAAAGTGGGCTCCAAACTCAAGGTTATGAATTGTGAAGACAACCCGAGCTTTACTAAGACCATAATGCATGTAATGATCTTTATATAACCAGGCAACAGGTGCGCTAGACCAATCATGGCAGTGAATGATATCCTGCCATCATAAGCAACAGTTTCAAATAGCTACCCTCAGTTGCTATCCTCAGATTCACACACACACACACACAAACCAATACAATGCCAAAAGAGCCATACATTAGCCAAAATATGATTTGACTGTTCCATATACATAACTTCCTCTTGCGTAATTGACCTTAATCTACTTTTTTTCATAGGCAGTTTTCATTTATCATCATATGCGTAGGTCTAGATATATGATAAAAGTAGGCAGAAGAACCAACTTCCACTACTAGTAGGATTAATTGAATTTCTCATCGTAGGAGGCGTATATAAACTGCATGAGTCAAGCACTGAACTTACAGGATGAAATCCACTTTGGAGTAAAAATTCTAGAGCAGCATGGCAAAAGAAACCAAATCTCTCTGCATCATTCTTACAACCATATATGCAACCTGTAGAAAAGAATCTGCAAAGAGAAAAGGAAAAAGAAAAAGAATTCTTGTAAAGAACAGGTTGCTGGATCTAGCACCACGGCAGTATTATTTGCAAGATAATCAACTGTGAACTTCCCGAAAATGAAATTGAAATACATATTGACCATTAAAACAGAAAATAAAAGGTAGTGAACTTGATAGAAGTAAACGTGAAAACACATATGACGGTTTGTGACTTTGAAGGATGCAGAAGAGGACATGTACCTATTATGAGGCTCCAAAAAGTAGACTGGAACACCTTCCACTTTACCAAACCAAACTTTTATTTCAGTTCCGCCCCAAGAATAGCTTCTGTTGTACTGGAATTCCTTCACCTGTATCAGAGATTCAGAACACAGCCATTTAGTAACTTAGAAACAAAATTCATCCCCAAACTAAGGTTGAAGAAGAACAAGTGAAAAAACAGCACAATCTAAGAACTCAGCAATAAGTGTCAAAAGATATACTTACAAGTGGGGTTAAACAATGCTCTGATAGTACCATAAAGCCAAAAAAAAAAAAAAAAAAGTTACGAAATCTATGTAAAAAAAAAAATATTTCACAAGAATCCAACAGGCACCCCATATTTCAAAAATTCCATGACATGGAATTCCAAGACGGGCAGGCCTGGCCAATGCCCACAAAAGGCCCTACAGTGAGCATTCTTAAAATGCAAAAGAAAAGAAAGAATGCAAGCGCTCCATGACAGGAAGAAAGAAAAAGGTAAAAAACTAGATGAGGTAAAAAAAGAAATAGAAACGAAACTTACATTGCTAAGGTTCAAACAGTCATACTTGGGAAGAATAATGTCAACATGGTGATTTAAGTCTTGCACAGCTCGGGATAGACTAGTAACCACGTCACCAAGCCCTCCAACCTAGAATAGATGTTGTAAATAATGGAGGGGATAAAAAAGAAATAAACAACATCAGTAGGGTCCTTATATGCAAGAAAGTACATACTAGATACTGATAATGGATCACTTCACATGGATATTACAATTCATGGTGGCCAAGAACAAAAAATTTCATCCATTGAGATTAAAAGGATTAGAAGGGAACTAAAACAATTAAAAAATAATAGATATTAGGAAACTAATTCTGCTCAGAGTTGACAGTCAAGTATCATAGCAGTAACACAGTAAGCTGTTGTGTGGCTAGAAAGTGAAGAGTAAGATAACTCAAAATGACAGCCCAATTTGAAAGTAGCAAGAAGATTGAAACTAATGTGAAACATCTATTGACAGTTAAATACACTGAAGGTATAGAAGTGTTTCATCCAACATTGCATTAACTTAGTTGCTAAACTTGCCTTTGCAATGGGAGCCATTTCAACAGAAATATGAACAATGTGCATTGGTGACTCCTTCAAAACTCCTCCAAACACTGGAATGTGGTAATCCGTACCGTTTTTGTTGTCAAAGAGTCCTTCATCATCTTCCTTCTCAGAGAAAACAAAGTCCATCACATATGCATCGAGCGGAACTTTAACTGTAGAGACATCAACAAATAGTTTAACTGATAAGTAAAGTTAACCTCATAGCCTCACATTGAGATGCTTAGACATTAAAATGGTTGCAAAGGGTCAAAATAAGCATAAACCAATATGCCAAATGAGCTAGCTTCTTTTCATTCTTTATATGTTGACATTCCTTGTGGTTATGTCACTCGCCTATGCATAGGATCCATTTTATAGTAAGACATTCATTTAAATAAGAAACTTCTTAAAAACTCCTTAATCTTAAGGAAACGTTAGCATAAAGCAGGGGAATAAAATTACCCAAAAAAAGATTTCGGTGGATGTATTATTATAAATCAAACAGAACTGAAGTGAATTATAACTTGAATGGTTTATGGGTATATATGTATATATCAACCGGGGAGGGGGGCGTAAAAGGAAACAAGAGATTATTTAACCACTTGTACTGAAAAGATAGACCATATAAACATCAAATTGTTCTTATGAAAAGTATCTATAAACTCAAACTCACCAGTTGTCTTGACATGAGAACCAGTCTCTGCAGGTAACATCTTCTGTGGTGGCAATGGACCCTTGCGATGGGTCCAACGGTTAAAAGAGCCTCTGAACCAAACCTCAGGCTTTCCATTCAGAACTGTACTGGCAGGATTGTAGAAGACCGTTGCCATGCTTCCAGCTTGAACATCAAGAGGCTCAGTGTACACTATATGCTTCTGAGACAGCAAAAACCTTTTCAAAGTTCTTTCCTTCATTTCTGCTTTCATACGTGCTGTTCTTTCGGCCTGCAACAAGAGAAGAGAAATGGAATCGGGAAGTAATATGCCATAAGATAAATTTGAGAAGTTGAATCCCAAAGTTGGCAAGATAAAGATAATAAAATTGAACAAACAAATATATATATATATATATATATATATATATATATATATATATATATATATATATATATATATATATATATATATATATATATATATATATATATATATATATATATATATATATATATAGAGAGAGAGAGAGAGAGAGAGAGAGAGAGAGAGAGAGAGAGGAGAGAGAGAGAGAGAGAGAGAGGAAATCTCAAGTACTGATTGGCAACATTTTAAGGATAGTCCAGAAAATCCACACTTTGCATAAAAGAACAAACACTAGAGGGACCCACCAGTCAAAACCTAAGAAGGTGGTCTGAGTCTCACATCATGCAGGGCTCAATGTGATTGTTCTAGATGTAATTTTCAGTAAAACTCACCTTGGCACGTATTGCCTCCTCCCTTAATCTCCTCTCCTCCTGGAGCTTCCTATATATCTGGTGTTCTTCCTCAACCCAATATAGTTCCTCAGGAATGGACTTTGGAACTATCGTATGGAAATCATGGCGGTGGTTGTTATCATATAGAACAGCATTTTGAGGTGGTCCATCGGCAAAAACCCAATCCAAGACAACAGCTTGATCAGGTACAACAACTACAAGAAATAAAATTGACCACAAGGATGTTGTTTATAACATGCTATATTACCATCACCAAACAGAAAATTACACATTAAAGGAAATAGAACTACTGAAAAAGAGAGAGCCATCTCCAACAATTTACAACCTTTTATATACGTTAGAGGAAGAAAAGGACAAGAATATAAAAGAACACATACCATTGGCATACCACCAGTCACCATCCTTTTTCTCAGAGCTAACTAGCCTCTGAACAATAGATAATCCATCCTTCCAATTATTATGCCCCCCATGAATCCATAGTTCCTTAGCATGAGCAAGAGGACCTGAGCTTCGGTTATAGTATAAGTTCACCAAGTCCTCACCTTTAAACTCACTAGGCTCTATGTACCAAACATTCTCTACAGACCTTACAGCCTTTTTTATCAACTCTTGCACCATTTTTCGTCTCCTTTCAATCTCTGCTCTTGCCTCTGCTCTGTCAGCTTCACTTGCTGCCTTCTCTGCTTCAATTCGCCTCTGCTCCTCCGCTTGCCTTTCCCTCTCAGCTTGCTCCTTTGCAAGTTTCTCTAGTTCTTTGCGCTTCTCATCAAGCAAGAAATCTTCAAATGCAATGAGGTCCATTCCACCTTCCACGGCTATGTAGAAATCTTTCTCATCATTATTGTCATAAACATTTTGACCATTGAAGAACACGAAGTCTATCTTATATGATTCTTTAGGAACATGAAACTGGCAAGACCACCAATCCCCTTTGAGTTGTGTTTTGTTCAACCTGAAGGTAAAAGATTTCCACCGCCAGTCATTAAAGGCTCCCATTATGAAAATCTCTGGCTCATTGCTTAGGGTGGATAGACTTCTATTAAGAAAAATATCTATACCTTGATCAGGTTTCACCACCTGAGGATAGGCAAAGATTTTGTTCCCTCTTAAGAAGTTCTCCTCAGCAAGCCTCACAATCTCCACCTTGATCAGGTTTCACCACCTGAGGATAGGCAAAGATTTTGTTCCCTCTTAAGAAGTTCTCCTCAGCAAGCCTCACAATCTCCTCTTCACGCAATTTTTCTTCCATTTCCAACTTTGATTTTAAAGAAGCTTCATTGGTTAACTTTTTATCAGTATCAGTGCCTTTGTCATCCACAGAGTCATCCATCTTTCTTTTAGCCAAACGCTGTTTGTCAGAAAGTATTGCTTCTGCCACATTCTCATCATCACCCTTGGAAGCTGTTCCTTTTGGCTGTATCTCTGCCAAGTCCTCAAGGACCTTACCTACACTCCCATTTTCTATCCCTTGAATACCTCTAGCAATATCTGACGGTTTGCTAATTGAAGATGATCCCTCAACTTTACTACTAGTTTCACCAATTCTTTTTTCCTCGACATCATTCTCTTGTGAAGGTTCAACTGCCCATTCTCCTTTGGTATCAACTCTCAATTCAATTGTTTTCTTGTTGGGCCCAGCAAGTTCACTGGATGTTGAAGATATAGAACCCTTTTTATCCCCATTACTCTTTTGATTCGTCTTCTGGACGCTAGTTCCTACTGGAGTTTTTGGCACTAATCCCTTGGGACCAGGGCTGTTAGAAGGAGTGGTCATTTTTCTCTGTCTCCTCCTTGAAAAATCTACCAAGTTACAGAGTCGGATTAAGCTAATAACAACAAAGAAAAATTAAGGTCAAGTAATCCACTTCAAAACTAAAATAAAACGATGAGATAACTCACCAGCTGAACTGGCAGTAATTTGGTATGAAACCCCACTTGCCAGGTCTCCTTTGAACCATGAAGAATACTGAAATCAAAGAGAGGTTCAGTTTGAGATGCAGCAGTCACTAAAATGACCATAGTTCAGTAATTTTATTCAGAAAAACTGATTGGAAAAGTAAAAACCATCATTACGCAAAAAAGAAAATTATTACAATTCAATCCTATCCTACAGTAAAATCAACCGAACAGTGAGTACCCACCAAGAAAAAAGGACATGAATTTCATCAATAAAGCTTACACTTTTCCAGAAAATCTCCTATCAATAACACCACCACAAAAAGACCCAGGAAAAGTATCGATGAACAAATATTTAAATAGTTGTCGATAGAAAGGAAAATACCAAATTACAAAAGTCGACCGCAAAGATCAAAGAAACCCACAATAGTGCTCTCGACAGAAACACATACTCTTACATGGGTGTGATCAATACCAAAAAACTCAAGGAAACGGAGAAATTTCAGAACAAGAAGAAGAAAATGTACACCAGAAACTATACATATATGCCAATGATAAACGAAGCTGATTACTCGTGAGAAATGACTTAACTCTTCCATGAGGAGAAAACCCAGTAAATGGTTTGAGCTTCAAATTGCTTCCTCTCTCTTGGAAGACTGTTCGCCAGCTGAGTGGCCTCTGTGCTTGCAAAGACATTATAAGAATGTTTGTTCTGCTTCTTGGTCCTTCGAACACAAAATATAATCCGTACTGATCAGCATGCCATTTCTCGAAGGCTCCAGCACTGAACTTATCAAACAATTAAATAATAATAAATATAAAATATCTTGATTTATATATAATAAAAAACCAAAACCAAGGAATAAAAAATAATAATAATAAGTGTTAACATGGTGTGGTTTCAGCTAGCAGAGAGAGAAGAAGCCTGCACTCTCAGCCACGTGTTCGGGACCGTTCATTTGCGTTGGTCTTTGCGTTAATTGGTGGGTTTGGCTGTGACGTGGCAGAATTTTAGAATTTTCCAATATTTTGAAGGGAGCATTTTTGCTCACCATTTTAACCATAGGTGTACCCTCACCACCCTCCTCAATGCTTGATACGTGTCCATAGACATAACTATGATTCCATAAATACAAAGCAAAAGTTAACTATGGTTATGTCTATGGACAAGTGTCAAGCATTGAGGAGGGTGGTAAGGGTACATCTATGGTTAAAGTGGTGAGCAAAAATGCAAAGGGATTGTTGTTTTTTTTCTAGAAATGAAATTTTTAATGGGTAGGCTTTTGAGAGGCTATTAGCATGTGATATAGACTACCCCATCAGAATTGATGGAATCAATCAGGAATTGCCACGTCAAAAGCCAACATGGCACGTGACAACAAACTTTCCTAGGTTTTTTTGTTATTCCTATGAAGGAGGAGAAAGCAGTATAAAATAATTTAATTACTATATTAATGTTTTTTTGGGTTGAAACTATATTATTAATCAATCTTAGTTGTCCTTCTGATCACTTCTAAGGTTATGTAAAGAATACTGTTTAATAATTATATGCACAAATAAAGTGCCTAGAGGGAGTGCAGCTCTCGTAGTTGTTGTGGGTTGTGATTATTTCTCTCCAAGATTAATCTTCACCATGTTCTGCCATGGCCAGCATTGACGTTGGCACCAAAGTCATGACAAAACATGACTGAACTTGGTAATGGCCAAAGGCAAAGGTGTAAACCAGAGACCTTGAATTAGTCGGTATATTCTTTAACTTGTTGGCTTTGTGATAGAAATAAAGATTAGCATATCTTAAATTCAACGAATGTCATCCGTTGAATCATCGTATTAAAAAAAAAGGATTCTAAACTAAAAAACTAAAATAAAATGCAAAGTGTAACCATCGAGAAAAAAACATCACATCGAAATGAATTCGCATGAAGGCGAGAATTTGAGTACAACAACAACATGCATAAGTCAAACAACAAATTAATTAAAACTCACAAGAGAATTATTTGATGCAAGCATTCATCAACAAATGTTTAATAAGAGGATATGAAGAATATGGAGAAACAAGAAACTAGAGATGAGGGAATATAAGTCTTACCTTAATTAGAGAGACTGAATAAATTGAAACCAGAGATGGAACTGGTTTTGAAGACGAAGGCAGCCAAAGAAAGATAGAGGGAACAAGGAATGGCCAAATGGGAATTGACACCGAACGATGTGGGAGGGAGAAATGGGGTTTTGTTTGGTTGAGATTCAAAGATTACAAGTGGCTTTTTCCATTGGGCTTCTTCAAAAAGCTAAAATTAATCAATGGTCCAAATCTGAAGTGCGTTGGGCTGGAAGGGTTGGCTTTTTTGTTTGTGGGTGGGTTGAAGTGTTTAAAAAAAAGTTATATTGGCTAAGCTGCAGCCCGACCCAATTAACCAATAAATTGGGTCCCCCTCGCCTTACCTAATCCGAAAACCATATTCCTTTTTTTCTTTCTTTTGATGGAAAAATAATAATAATTTCCCAAAGAAAAGAAAAATGGACCGTTGCTTCCCGCCGCAAAGTTCCTCTTTAAAACTGCCTTCAGGCAGGCTAAACATCGATTCAAGATTCCAAGCCATATTTCTTTCTCAGTTTCTCAAAAGCAACATTGATTGATGTGCAGTGCAGGGCAAAGTAAACATTTCATTTCATATCCATCATCAATCCAAAATAGAAACACTCTCTGTTGAATTGAAAGCAAACTCATCATAAACTCATTTTCTAATTACTAGTGTCCACTAAACATAATTAGCCACTAAAACATTATTTTTTACAATAATTAATCAATCAGGGAGCCAAGACTATTTGGGAATGTTCGATATGAAGAAGAAAAACCCGGACATATGTATACGGTGAGGCAATTGTTGAGCCTCTTTTTATCTATTAGTTACAAGAAAACAAACTAATAATTGGATGGTCTATGAACACTAAAAATTAATTACTTTTCTTAAGGGTACAACAATTGCAACTAATGTGGAGATGGGGTACAATAATAGTGATTATTGACTGCCTAACCTAATATTCTTCTAGTGTGTTTTCGGATATGTTTGTTACCTTGAGAACTCATAATCTTTTAATTACGCCAGCTAATAGTAAATTGATTTTCTCTCTAGTGCTTTCTCTAGAGCGTCCTAGGGGATTGAGTCTCAGTCTTCCCGGACTTAAGGTGTTAAGGCTGAAGGATTGCATGCAGTGGCTGAAGGATTGACAAGTGCTAGTCGACTCTATTGGTGTCTGGATTATGAGAGGTTGCTGGTTCACTGACTCCCTCTTCGCTCGTATGGAAGCTATGTTGACCGAGTTCTCCTCACGTTTCGCCCTTACTAATGCTGAACAAGAGGGGGTTGTTATTGATTCTATAACAGTCATTGGAATCAGAACCAAGCGTTTTCTACTCGTGGGCAAGCTTTTGACTGATAAACCCTATAACAAAGAGGCTCTCCGTAGAACCCTTTATTCTATTTGGAGACCTAAGACGAAGGTAACTATTGTGGATATTGGATATCAAAAGATTGATTGTGCTTTTAACTCCAAGGATGAATGCGATACGGTTCTTCGAGGAGATCCATGGCTCTTCAATGGATACCTTATGGTGTTGGCAAAAGCTGATGGCATCACCAACCCAAAACACATTCCACTGTTGAGGCAAGATTTCTAGGTACAAGTTAAAAGGCTACCTCTCGGATATATGACCAAAACTATGGGAAAGATTATCGGTGACGTCCTGGGTGGATACGTGGTGACGGACCAAAGTAAAAAAAAACTAGAAAAACTGGAGAGTTATCTTCGTATTTGGGCCACCCTGAATATCTCCTAACCGTTACGACGGAGTCTCCTACTCCGGCTAGATGGGGAGCCCATTGAAATTGATGTGCGGTACGAGAAGCTACCCACTACATGTTACTGCTATGAGATCATTGGACACACCGAACATTCGTGTCGCCTACCAAGTGATGAAGAAGATGATGATTTGTCCAAACCTTATGGACGTTGGTTTCAATCTGATACGTATCGGCCTGAGTATCGTAAACCAGCCGGGAGATATTTTGTTTTCCCTAGTTCCCCAGGGTAGTCTATACGTGTGCTGAAAGAGGGTGACACATCCCCGGCAATGGCGGAAGACAACGGCAGTACTGAGTCGGGCATGCCTCACCACCCTCTCATGAATGATTTACATAATATGGAAGGTATTCAAACCTCGCAAGCCTTGGCACTGACACAGTCTATTCCCCACCTCATTCCCAATATTCCGGACCTAAATGAGCAAGTTGACTTCTATGATGAGGATTCTCTAGGTTCGCTGGCCCTTATTCCTTTTAGGGAAAACGCAATAAAATTTCCCATATTTTTAGACGATGATCACGTTCCTGCTTCCCTCCTAGGGCCTGAGGATTGTGGTCTCTCCTTCAATTTATCAATAGGGAGTCAGACCAACAACCATGACTATTGTGATAATGGAATTTCAAGCTGTAATTCCTCCTTGTTGAGCTATACGGATAGGAAACCACGCACTGGCACGACCTTGGGCCCTCTAACCAATCAGCCTATGAACCCGCATATTCTTCATCTTCCAGACCTAAGAACCTCAAATCCTAACAATCGGCAGTTTAATGAGGCAACCCAAAATCTATCACTGGGCTCTGACCCTTTCAACCTTAGCCTGTTGATAAAGCGAACATCTAAGGCCCACAAATGTCAACAGAAACTAGGAAGAGGGCATAGAGCTCTCCAGCAGCCTTTTACTACACGTTCCCAAAGTGATTCTTCGACTACTTCTCTCATAAGCACCTATCATAAACGTGCTCGGCTATCCCTTTTTTTATGCAAGTCCACCTGTTCCCAAGAGGTCCTACATCCATGATGAGAGGAATGTTTTTTCAACGATGGAGACTGAGATTAGGGATTATCTTTAAGCTCTAGCTGCCCGTATGAGTGTTTCATTAGCGGTTGACAGGGGTTTTATGAATTTTTTTTTTAGAGTGATGCTCTTCAAATTATGTCGGCACTTTAAAGGTAATCCATGGATCGATCTTTTCTTTGACCGATTATGGAGGATACCAAGACTGTGTTGACTCAGATCACTGGAAAAGGTTTTATCCATATCCGCCGAAACGCCAACGGTGTGGCTCATCGTATTGCGAAGTGTGCAACTCACATCGATAACCTTGTTAGTTGGTTTGAGGAACCAACAGACTTTATTGTTGATCTCCTATTTGTAACTTTTAGTTTTTTCGGACATGTTCTTAGGGGGATGGGGAAGGGGACTCTATTGGAGGTAAGGTTTCTTTTCCCACTTGCGGTTGAGAAGGTAGGCTACTTAGGTAGACCGACGACCACTACGCTTCGTTTGGTGTAGAGTACTCGCCTAATCCTTTAGGACATAGTTTGGTTTTTTGTACTTGTTACTGATCGGTGCATAATTACATATCATTTTGTATCCTTCTAACTTATGATTTTGTTATGTTTTTGAGTTAAACTTGTGCTTTTAATAAGTTTTGTGTTTGTTTCAGTGTAATAAGCTTGAGACTCATTAAATGCATTTTGGAGACGAGTTAGCTCATCGATGTCTGCAGATCAGTCAACTTCACGAATTGATCTGTACTTGCTCAAGAAGAACCAGATGATGAGCCATACATCATTGGAAAGATGCGGAAGTCTAGTTTCTAGAGAATTTTACGGTTCATGATTC